GTTTTTCGGGAAGAGCGGTGTGTTGTACTCTATGGCCACGGGGATGTACCACTCGATCGAGGGGGGGTTTGCGAGCCGGGATGGTTACGGGCTCAAGTTTATGACTTACGGCACTTGGATTAAGCTGAGCAAATCGTGATTTCATGATGCATGCTTCTTTTATGATTATGAAATATATTAATGTGCAGACAGTAGTTTTTGTTCAAGAAAAAAGTCATGTAGCTATCATATCATTACTATCCAACCAGAAAATTCGTACGATCCACATATATAAGCAAGAGGATGCCTACGGTCTATCTGCTCGATCAAGGCACAATTTTAGTTCATTGTGATCTTTTGCCATTAATTAATTAATGAGAAATATTTTTTTTTTTTTTTTTTTTTTTTNATATTTTAGTTGCAAAGATAGAATATGGCCCGTCTTATAAGTAGGGCCTATGAAATCTAAATTAACCACACAAGATACATAAGCCGGAAACTTTTCACAATTTCTTTAATTTTTCCCAATGAAAAAAATCACAAAGCGCCCCACGAGCAAAACTTCTTCACAACTTTAAAATGGTGATTCACGAAATTAAAAGTAAACTTGATTTGTTACATGTCATGTGTTGGGCTCAGATACGCAAATGCGGAAGGTGTAGATTAAAATGTCGAAGTAAAATGGTGAACAATAATCTCATTCCCAACAACCAAAGAATGACAAAAGAAATTTCTTGCAATATATATTATTTAATGAGTATTTTTAATTTATTAATATTAATAAAATTATTTTATCGTGTATTGCACGTGATTCGTACTAGTTTCGTATACTTGAATTTGAATAAAAAGGAAAAAAAAAAGTTTTTTGGTCCTTTATCTGCAGGTCTTTCTCAATTTGGTCCTGTAAATGAACTATTTTTGGAAATAGTCCCCTAAGTGAAAATAAATTAGTTTTTTGGTCCTCTGACCGTCTACAGCAGGTCAGATTTACCGGTTGTCTACGTGGAAATTCGCTCAATTGTTTTTTTTTTTTTTATTGCTGAGTTGTATGCTTAGGTGTTGACTATGTGGCATAATTGCAAAAAAATACAAGGAGAGGGATTGAACCCCGGTCCAATTTGGGAGTAAAAGAGCACTTGAACCACTTGCGCTAACACCCATAATAATTGTTATTTCACTTCAATTTTATATGTACTAATATCGTTTTATCTAATAATATATATACATTATTCAAATGTTATTTAATTACATTGTTTAATAAAAAATTTATTATCATTAATGAATAAATATCATTTAATTACATTGTTTATATATATATATATATATATATATATCTAAATAAATGAATGAATATTATTTAGTTATATTGTTTAATCAAATGTTTATTATCATTATTTTTTATACTAATATACATTATTAAATTCATTTAATTTTATTAATATATTAAATAAATATTTACTAATAAGTAAATATAATAAATAATTATTAAATAATATTAAATAAACAAATATATTAAATAATATAATAATATTTACTTATTAAAATAATAAATAATAAAATAAATAATAAATTTAGTAAATAATAGAAATTAGAAAAAAGTATAATTAAATAAAGCATATAAACAAAAAATAAAATAATATAAAATATTTTTTATGTATTAATTTTAATTATTTTTAGTTCGTAATTAATATATTATATTATTTATTAGGTTATTTAATATATGTATTTTACTAAATTTATTTATTTATTATATTATTTAATATATGTTTTTGTTAAATATTATTACTTATTATATTATTTGGTATATTTATTTATTATATTATTTAATACATTTATTTAATATTTGATAGATGTATATATTTGGTAAATATTTGTTTATTTCTTATATTTTTTAGTATATTTATTTATTTGATCAATATTTATTTAATACACAAATAAAAGATAATTATATTACTTATTACATTATTCAATATATTTTATTATTTAGTAAATATTTTTCATATAGAAATAAAATTTAATCATATTAATTATTATATTATTTATAATATGTATTTACTATATTATTTAATTTACATATTTATTTAGTAAATAATTATTTTTTTATTATACTATTTAGTTTATGTATTTATTTGATAAATATTATACATTATATTATTTAATGTATTTATTCTTTTGGTAAGTAATATTATTTATTATATAGTTTAATATATTTATTTATTTGGTAAATTTTATTATTTATTATATTATTTATTTTATTCATTTTTTGATAAATATTTATTTTATATTAAAATTAATTTAATTAAATACGTTAAAATATTTATTTAGAAAATAATTAAATACTATTTATTTAATATATAAAAAAAATTATTAAAACATAAAAGTAGTACAAATTGAATAATATATAATTGAAGTTAAATAGTTAACAAAAAGTGTGCTAGCTCAAGTGGTCCATGAGCTCTTTTACTCCCCCATTGGACTTGGGTTCGAATCCTCTCTTTAGCATATACAATTATGCCACATAATCGCCACCTAAGCATACAACCCAGCAAAAAAAAATTGAGCGCCAGT